TGTCAGACTTGGTACAAAATACTTGAAGGACCACTAGACCAGGTCTATTATTACTATTATTAGAGAAGTATCCCAGGGGGGAGGTTGTGGCCGTTTGTTAAATTTATTTGGCCCCCACAAAGTCTCAGAATCCCAAAATGATTTTTCAATTTTAATTTGAAAATATACGTAGCAGAGCGACAGTACTTTTATACGTTAAGCATCATATAAAGCTAGTAGAAATATGTGTGACTGACATTAGTTTGACCTGAGCAAGAAGCAGTAAGTCAACAGCAAAACATTAGCCAAAGCAAAATAGTTGTGACTCTCAGTTTTAAAGCTACTGAGCTAAAAAATGTTGTGGTAGTTTTATAGTCATGTAAACCCAGCACGGATCCATCTAGCAAAATATCACAATACTGCATGACATAGTGCCTGACAGCATTTGCAAGTTAGACTGTAGCTAACGGAGACATAGCTGCAATACTGTAGCTGCAATAAACTCAGTGTAATAAATATTATATTTATAAGACTGAGTTTGTTGCAGCTCCTCAGACTGAAGAAGTCTTTTGTATAAAAGACGAAACGTTTCAACAAGAAGAATCTGTTCAGAGGACCTGACTTAACCTTGTTAGACTATAGGCTAATTAATTGAGATTGTGGAAATAATGAGTGAGATCCTTTTCTAACTAAATTAAGCAATAATGCAGTGTCTATCAAAAATCTACAGTATGTTTTGCATAAATGTGCTCTGACACAGATCCAAATGAACCAGTAAGTGACAATGAAACAAGTGAAACTGATGAGAATGAGGAACCGAATGTCCAGAAAAAGAAACAAAGAAGTTCAAAGCGGAGCAAAATGTCAAAGAAAGCAGCTGATGGTAAGAGACCACAAACTGTACACTACAGGACTAAAGTGTGGATTAAACAACACACAACTTGATGTTTGTGAGATTGTTTTTTTTTATTACTTTTAACATTTATGTGAATTAAATGTTGTATCCGTGATTTTTAAAGGTAAACATACATATCATGAGAAACACAGTGATGTGAAGTCTTCAGCCCGTACACGACGTAAAAGACTGACCCCTCTGGTAGAGGATTTTGTAATTGGTGAGTAATAAATTTGCTGCGGCATCAACTAATATTAGCTAAATTTACATGTATGTGTTAAAATTGTCTGTTTTACTATTGGGTTTGCTTCATTATAATTGTGAAAATTGAAAACTTAAATCCAACAGCAATTATTCCTTTTTTTTATATTTTTTTAAAGAAATCTAATCTATTCACAAATAATTTTTAATATTTTTTTCAATGTTCACTGTTACTAATGAATTTTGCCACAGAAGGTTTGTGATTGTTTCATGCCCAAGCTAGTATAAAAGCTAAGCTGTCTACATGTCTCTTTTGCCATGGTCTACCTGATAGGTCTGTCTTTGACAAAAATAAAATCTGCATTTTAAAACCTTTAAAATGACAAAAACTCAATACCTCAAGTAAGTTAGAATAAAGTGAAAGTATTGTCCATTCTAATGTTTGACATTTGTTTTTATAGATCCAGGGGTTCAGTTTGTTTGTGGCTTGTCTGATGTCGATGCGATCATCAATGAGACGGCTGAGTTAACCTGTAAGCTCAGCAGTGAGGACTGTGAGGGAGCCTGGTTCAGAGATGGCAAACAGGTGAGTCAGGAAGGAAGTGCATCAACTGAGTTTTCTACGTCAATTTTAATTTCAAAGTTTTCCAAAGCTCCAACCTACTCATTTCCATTTTGGATAAATGATTCCTCTCAGAATCAGAATCAGAATAAACTTTATTGGAATTGCACCGAGGTACAACGCGAATATGTACGTACAGTCGTCTGAAAGATGGGCGGAGTGCACGAAGCTGCAACTACAGGACAGCGCGGCCATTTTATCCTTATCAGATAATAATCTTAGATAGGAAAAGTGGGAGAAACATGAGGGTAGATAGTGGTATTACAAAAAAAGATCTTTCACATCTTGTCTATCAGGACACGATTTGAGACATCAAAAAACTACCAGCAAGCACAATTAAAACATGATTACATTTGCATTTGACATCGAGGTGTTGAGATTTGTCAATGAGCTTTTTTTCCAGATCAGCCAAAGTTTCCGAGGATGTTGTTCCAGCCAACAGTTCTGATAAGCTTGCACAGAAAGTTCAGGG